CTCCTGGGCTCTGGCAGCTGTGGATGCTGGGAGCGTGTTCACCTGTGTATCCCTTTGTGTGTGGCCAGGATGAGGGGTCTCAAGCCGCAGATGATCTGGGTTGGATTGCAAATGACAGTGATGGGCATTTCTGTACCTACAAGTGTGTGTCTCTGTGCAGTTGGATTTTTTTTTTTTTTTTTAATTAGAGATGGGGTTTCACCATGTTGGCCAGGATGGTGTCAAACTCCTGACCTCATGATCTGCCTGCCTCGGCCTCCCAAAGTGCTGGGATTACAGGCGTGAGCCACCGCTCCCGGCCGTCTCTGCAGTCGGACAGGTACAGATGCCTCCCCAGGCGAGGGCCTCCGGGACATAGGCACACGCATTGTGCATACCCAGCCCCTCCCCATGCCCTCCGCCACACCCACATCACCCCCACCCGGTCGTGTCCGTGCCATAGACAAACCAGTTAGGTGACCCCAGAGAACAGAGAGGTCCATTGTTCATGGTTGCTAATCAGCCCTGCCTGCTGGGCCCCCTCCGCCGATGGCCCCCCGATTTCCTGCCCTTCACCAGAGCTCTAGGTGGGGAGAGTCTGCAGCTCCAAGGCCTCCGGGGGGTCCTCTGACTAGCCCATGCTGGGGCTGCGCCCTCGGTAGAAACAGATCACCACAGCCCAAGGCTTGTTCCAGTCCAATGGGGAAACTGAGTCACACCACTCCAAGGTTTGTACGTGTGGGCAAGCGGGGTGGAGGGGGTCCAGAGAAGTCCAGGGCCGGGTAGGTTTCTTTCTTGCCTGTCTCTCCCCACTGCCACTGGCACTGAAATCCTGGCTCTATGACCTTGGGCAAGTCACTTGCCAGCTCTGGATCTGTTTCCCATTCACACAGAGCACATGAGGTTCCCACCTGCAGCCAGGTGAAGTGGTTCACACCTGTAATCTCAGCACTTTGGGAGGCCAAGGCAGGAGGCTCACTTGAGCCCAGGAGTTCAGCCTGGGCAACATGATGAGACCTCGTCTCTACATACAATTTAAAACTTGGCCGGGCGTGGTGGCTCATGCCTGCCATCCCAGCACTTTGGGAGGCCGAGGTGGGCAGATCACCTGAGGTCAGAAGTTCGAGACTAACCTGACCAATGTGGTGAAACCCCCGACTCTACTAAAAATACAAAAAATTAGCTGGGCGTGGTGGCGCATGCCTGTAATCCCAGCTACTTGGGAGGCTGAGGCAGGAGAATCGCTTGAACTCAGGAGGCGGAGGTTGCAGTAAGCTGAGATTGTGCCCCCGCACTCCAGCGTGGGCAACAACAGCGAAACCCTGTCTGAAAACGAATAAATAAAAATTTAAAAACTGGCTGGGTGTGGTGGTGCATGCCTGTGGTCCCAGTTACTTGGGAGGCTGAGGTGGGAGGATCATCTGAGCTGGGTAGGTCGAGGCTGCAGTGAGCGCTGTGATTGCACCACTGCACTCCAGCCTGGGCAACAGAGCGAGATCCTGTCTCAAAAAAAAAAAAAAAAAGGTATTACGTATTACCTGCTTCTTAGGACGTTTGCAAGGTTGGAATGGAATGACTATCTGTGTTAAGTTCGTAGAATGGGGTTGGATATAAAGTAGATGATCATTAAGAATAAAGGGGATGATGGCCAGGCTTGTTGGCTCACACCTGTAATCCCAGCACTTTGGGAGACCTGAGGTCAGGAGTTCAAGACCAGCCTGGCCGACACGATGAAACCCCACGTCCACTAAAAATAAGAATTAGCCAGGCATGGCGGCATGTGCCTGTAATCCCAAGCTACTCAGGAGGCTGAGGCAGGAGAATCGCTTGAACTCAGGAGGTGGAGGTTGCAGTGAGCCAAGATCGCACCACTGCACTCCAGCCTGGGCGACAGAGCAAGACTCCATCTAAAAAAATTAAAAAGGGCTGGGCATAGTGGCTCACACCTGTAATTCCAGCACTTAGGGAAGCCAAGACGGGCAGATCACGAGGTCAGGAGTTCAAGACCAGCCTGACCAACATGGTGAAACCCCGTCTCTATAAATAAAATAAAGGGGATGGGTTTTGACATCTGACAAAATGCTGCTGCTGCCAAACGCTTCCCCAAAACCTCAAGCATGAAATGTCCTCCCGATGGCCCACACGAGACCCTGCACGAACTGCCCCATCCCCTTCCCGACCTTTCCTCCTCTCGCTCTCCCCGTCCTCACTCTGCACCAGCCACACGAGCCTCACTGTTCCTCCAACACACCAGGCGTGGTCCTGGCCCAAGGCCTTTTCACAGGCCATGTCTCTGCCTCCAACAGCTGCCCCCAGATTTTCCTATGGCTGACTTCCGACACTTGGGTTAGTGCATGCGTCACCTCCTCAGGGAGGGCCCCCCTGCCCACCTCCAGTGAAGCTAGCCCAACACTCACCTTATTATGCACCAACTGTATACTAAGCCCAGAGATTTCAACTGTGGAAATTCATCCATCGATCCAATCACTCCTGAAACTCTGGACCCTCCAATTCAGGACCTGGGCCACCCAGTGTCCAGCTTTGTTTTTTCATTTTGATTTTTGAGACGGAATCTTGCTTTGTCACCCAGGCTGGAGTGCAGTGACACGATCTTGGCTCACTGCAGCCTCTGCCTCCCAAGTAGCTGAGATTACCGGTACACGCCACCACGCCCGGCTAATTTTCATTTTTGTAGTAGAGATGGGGTTTCACCATGTTGGCCAGGCTGGTCTCAACCTGACCTCAGGCGATCTGACCACCTCAGCCTCCCAAAGCGCTGGGATTACAGACATGAGCCACCGCACCCAGCCAGCCTAGCTTCTTTGTGTTCATTGGGTGGTTCATTCATTCACTCATTCATTCATCATTCAAGCAAATGTCTGTGAGCGCCTATTCTATGCCACTGAACCAGCTGGGCTGGCCCTGGAGGAGAATCAACTTCCCCTGCAATTTCACTCTCATCAGTCCCCAGGCTGGTCTAGGATTTGTTTAGACGTCCTCATATTGCAGAGCTCATTCCCTAAGAATAACCATCACCAATACTAAACAGTATCAAGTACCACCCATAGTGGCGAGTTCTCAGGGTGACTACAACATCTGCTCCCAAGCCCAGCTCAGCCCAGACGGAGTGTGCCATGTCAAAGAACCCAAGTTCAAATCCCATGTCCATTTCTAGCCCTTGGACAAGCCCCTACCCATTTTGTCTCAGTTTCCCTAGCTGTAAAATGGAGATAGTGGTACCTCTCTTGTGGGCTCAGCACCATGCCTGGTACACAGCTGGTGCTTAATAAATGTGTCCTGTTACTTAAGGTCTGGTGGGTGTAGGTCCTGTGGCCGCTGTCCATGAGGGTGAACAGGGTGGGGAAGGGGTGGGTGGAGTTTCTGCACATCAGGACACGGGGCGTGGTCCATGCAAACGAAACGCAAATCCGACGCAAATAAAAGTCTGTGGGCAATGCGGGGTCCCGCACAAGGCAGGAGGGCAGGGAGCACGCGTCGGGGGGCTACTGGGGACCCCGCGAGCCGAGCCCAGGCGCAGAGACGCTGACCCACGTCCAGCCTGGCTTTCAGCGCTCCATGTAAATGTTTACCCCTGGCCAGCTGCCAGGCTCCACACCGCCCCACACTGGGCAGCCGGGAGGGGGGAATGTAAACGCGGGCTTCGGGGCCACAGGACGCTGGGGAGGAGCCCAGACAGGGTCAGGGGTGGTGCGGAGTGTACATGTGAGTCGTTAAACACTGACTATATGCAGTGATCAGGAAGCCACCGAGCACTCAGAGCAAGGGGGAAGCTCAGGGCACTTCTGGGGGCCCACGGATACCCCTGCACCAGCCAAAAGCTGAAGTGAATAGGGTAGGCGGTCAGGGAAGGCTTCCTGGAGAAGGTGCTGTCCAAGCTGAGATTGCAAGGGACATGGAAGCCAGGTACAGTGGCTCATACCTGTAATTCCAGCTCTTTGGGAGGCCAAGGTGGGAGGATCGCTTGAGCCCAGGAGTTTGAGACCAGCCTGGGCAACACGGTGAGACCCCCCTCTCCCTATAAACAAAAAATTAAAAATTAGCCAGGCATGGTGGCTCATACCTGTAGTCAGTCCCAACTACTAGGGAGGCTGACACGGGAAGATAGCTTGAGCCTAGGAGGTAGAGGCCACAGTGAGCTGTGATCACACCACTGCACTCCAGCCTAGGCAACAGAGCAAGACCCTGTTTAAAGAAAAAAGAAAAGAGGCCGGGCATGGTGGCTCACGCGTGTAATCCAAGCACTTTGGAGGCCAAGGCGGGTGGATCACCTGAGGTCGGGAGTTCAAGACCTGCATGACCAACATGGTGAAACCTCGTCTTTATAAATATATATATATATATATATATATATATGAAAAGAAAAGAAAAAAGGCTGGGTGAGGTGGCTCACACCTGTAATCCCAGTACTTTGGGAGGCCAAGGCAGGTGGATCACCTGAGGTGAGGAGTTCGAGACCAGCCTGGCCAACATGGTGAAACCCCTTCTCTGCTAAAAATACAAAAATTAGCCAAGCATAGTGGCAGGTGCCTGTAATCCCAGCTACGCGGGAGGCTGAGGCAGGAGGATGGCTTGAACCCGGGAGGGGGAGGTTGCAGTGAGCGGAGATGGCGCCACCTGTACTCCAGCCTGGGTGACAGAGCGACTCTATCTTCAAAGAAGAGAAAAACCAAAAAGAAAAAGGGGGGTATGGGAGCGGGGAGGGAGGGAAGAAGTGTTCTCCATGGAAGGACCTTGCTGTGCAAACGCCCGGAGCTGGGACTCAGTGTCCGGGACAGCGCTGGTCCACTGCTGCCCACTTCTGGGCCTGCTTATCCATCCGGATGGGAAGCAGACTCAGAGAGGGGCAGAGTCACTGGAGGACACCAGTGTGTAGGGAAGTGTCAGCCCCATGTTCCTGCCTCCAGACTGTCCTAAACACCGCCCCCCTCGTGCCCTTGTCCCACAGTGCCACCCGCAGAGAACGACCTCTCCTGCTTTCACTCTTCCCCCTGGCTCCTCAGCTGCAGCCGTTCCAGCCTCCTCGCTGTTCCTGGGATACTGCATCACACTCGGTCTGGCCTCGGGGCCTTTGCACTGGCTGTGTCCCCTGCCTGTGATGCCATTCTCCTCTGCCTGGCCAACTCTTACCTTTGTTCACGTCTGGACCCTGTCATCGGCTCCTCAGGAAGGCACTCCAGGACCCCCAGATGGGGGCGGTTCCCCGTGACTCCTGGCACGGAGCCCAACCCCTTCCTTGTTCAATGGTTCCTTGAGGAATCATTCCCATGTGATTATCGATCATTTGGCAGGCGTTGTTCAAAGTCAAGGACCCCACTGAGTCCTGGCTCAGCACCCTGCGCCCACTGGTCGCCGGAGGGACAGACCGGGGCGTGCAGCTGACCATCCCGTGCCCGCAGGCCGAGGATGCAGCGTTGGAAGGCGGCGGCCTTGGCCTCGGTGCTCTGCAGCTCTGTACTGTCCATCTGGATGTGTCGAGAGGGCCTGCTTCTCAGCCACCGCCTCAGACCTGCGCTGGTCCCCCTGCGCCGCCTGCCTCGAACCCTGGACGCCCGGATCGCCCGCCTGGCCCAGTGTAAGCTCCTCCCCTTTGTGGGGTGACATACCCCCAATGTAGGGGGTGAAATTTCAGGCAGTGGATTAGGAAGTGGAGGGGTCATAGGTCTTTTAAAGATATGCGGCCGGGCACGGTGGCTCAAGCCTGTAATCCCAGCACTGTGGGAGGCCGAGGCGGGTGGATCACGAGGTTAAGAGATCGAGACCATCCTGGTCAACACGGTGAAACCCCGTCTCTACTAAAAATACAAAAAATTAGCTGGGCATGGTGGCGCGTGCCTGTAATCCCAGCTACTCAGGAGGCTGAGGCAGGAGAATTGCCTGAACCCGGGAGGCGGAGGTTGCGGTGAGCCGATCGTGCCATTGCACTCCAGCCTGGGTAACAAGAGCGAAACTCCGTCTCAAAAAAAAAAAAAAAAAAAAAAAAGATATGGCCAGCTGCCGGGCGCGGTGGCTCACGCCTGTAATCCCAGTACTTTGGGAAGCCGAGGAGGGCAGATCACCTGAGGTCAGGAGTTCGAGACCAGCCTGACCAACATGGTGAAACCCAATCTCTACTAAAAATACAAAAACTAGCTGGGTGTGGTGGTGGGCGCCTGTAATCCCAGCTACTCAGGAAGCTGAGGGAGGAGAATCACTGAACCTGGGAGGTGGAGGTTGCAGTGAGCCAAGATCACGCCACTGCACTCCAGCCTCGGCAACAGAGTGAGACTCTGTCTCAAAAAAAAAAAGAAAAAAGAAAGATAGGGCCGCCAGCTCCGTTGCAGGGAGGCAGGGACAGACATCCTAAAAGATTATTCAGGGTCAGGCATGGTAGCTCATTCCTATAATCCCAGCACTTTGGGAGGCTGAGGCAGGAGGATTGCTTGAGCCCAGGAGTTCATGACAAGCCTGGGTAACACAGCAAGACCCCCATCTCTACAAAAAGCCTTTAGAAATTAGCCAGGTGTGGTGGCGCATGCCTGTAGTTCCAGCTACTTGGGAGGATGAGGTGGGAGGATCAATTGAGCCCGAGTTCAAGGCCGCAGGAGCTATGAGTGCACATCTACACTCCACCCTGAGCAACAGAGCAAGACTCTGTCTCCAAACATTATAATAATAAATAAATTTTCTAAAAAAAGATGGGGTGGAGGGAAGTTGTAAATTCCCCCAGTGGCCTGGCGGAGCTAGGATGACTTCTGGGAACCGGGGTCTTTCAGCTCAGCTGTCACAGGGAATTAGGCTCTGCCCTGAGGTCCCCTGGGGGCCAGATGGAGATTAGACCTGGGCATTCGCCCGGTTGGCCCCGCAGCGCAGCGTGGGGGAGGGGTGGGAGGAGAGAGAGAGGCTGGATCTGAGGCCCCAGTGACCTGCCCCAGGGGACAGGGACCAAGGAGAGGCAGGAGATGGAGTGCAAGCTAAAAACCATGACAGAGACCCAGAGATTCAAGGGTAAGGAGGGCGGAGAAAGAGAAGGGAAAGACAGGGTTAAGGGCAGACAGACACAGGCAAAAGTGCTGCTGTAGGGACATGGAAATACCTACCCTGAGGGCGAGACCCTTTCCCAACTCCCCACCAACCCTAGTGCCTGCCCCACTGCAGGTGCCATGGGGCAAGGGCGGTATGTGGGCCCTGACTCCCGTGCCCACGCACATGTCCATGCGTGCAGACACTCTGAGGTGCAGATGCCAGTAAGGTGCATATACAGCACCTTTGGGTGTGTGCCACGAGCACGCCTGTGTGCACGTCTGCGCCCGCCCCTGCCAGCCCACACAATCCTTTTTTCTTGTCCTTACAATGCACAAGGGTGGCCTCCGGCACGAGCTCCACGTCTGTCCTCCCAGCACTTCCCTCTGCAAGCAGTGAGAAGTCCTTCCTAGGACACTGGGACAGAGACCCCAGGCAGGGCCCCCAAAAGTCAGTGCTCCAGGACTTGCGGGGCAAATCATGAATGGAGGAATTTCAGGCACTGGGGAGGGTCAGAGCCCATGGGCAGGTGCCTGCCTGCCCTACTGCAAAAAGGGAGAGGCCACTGAGTCCCCAAGTCCACATGTTCTAGGCTTCATGGTGGAATTTCAGGCTGAGGACCTTGTGTTCCGGTCCCTGTGCAAGCAGCCAGCCCCGTTGCAGGGAGGCAAGGACAGACATCCTAAAAGATGATTCGTAGTTTATATGGAATTCACATTTAGCCCGGCATCTGTATTATATCTAGCAAGCCCACAAATGTCTGCCTCAATGCACCCCTCCGGGGTGTGCCCCTAACCCCCCAGCACGGTCCCGGCCGCTCCAGTCCCACTCCAGGGCTTAAAGAACATGGAACAGGTTGCTCAGTCATCGGCTGCCCCCCAACACCGACTTCTCACCCTCTCAGCCCCAACCAAGGCAGAGATTCTGCGAGCTCATGGAACAAACAGGGAAACGGAGGCTGAGGTTGCAAAAGCGGCGAAAGTGGCAGAGTCAGGCTCTGAGGCTGGGTTTGTCCGGTTTCTGAGACCCCCTGTGGGAACAGACACCTCCCCCACCGCCCTCGGGAGACAGAGAGCCCCTCCTCCCCCAGGGCCACCCAGAGGCTCATTCTTTTGACAGCCAGGTGCACCAGCCTTGGGGGCAGGTGGAGACTCAACCCGATATTTCCTCTCCCTAGCACAGGCGTGACGGCCACCTGCTGTGGGGCTGGGAGTCCCCCGCCTGCAGGTCCGGCAGCAGCGCTGCCTGTCATTCCAACGTCTGCACTGCCCTCCCGGGGCTTCAGAGTTTGGGGGTGGAGCCAGCCGCTTGGGTAATAAATTTAGGCTGTCAGGCCCTGGGAATCGGTGACTTGGGCACCTCCTGGCGAGTGTGGGAGAAGGCGGCTGGACCTGGGCCAAATTTGGGTGAACGATGGAGGCAGGAAGAATGTCCTTTAAGCCTGTCTCTGTCTTGGCCACTTGCTAATGGTGTGACCTTGGGATGGTCCGTTTTGTCATCTGTCACATGGGGTGGCCCTGCCAATACCTGCTGCCACCCCATGGAGTGGAGTCCCCACACAGGCCTCGAACACAGTGGGCTGCAGTGCCTCCTGCTCCTCTGCATTCTAAGAAGACCAAACACCCCGGTTAGCTTCTTAAATGGGGAAACTGAGGCTCCACTGCACGAGCAGAGCAGCGGGGATGGAGTCTGAAAAGCCCCGGGGCTGAGAGAAGACGTTGGGGACTGAAGAGGGGGCTCTAGAGATAGACACCTATGACAGCCTCACTGAAGAGGAATGGGGGCATGGGAAGCAGCCCCCTAACACTCCCCAGAGAGGGTGCACCAGGGTCCTGGGGCAGCCCAGCATAGAGGCGGGGTCCAGATAGGGTTAGGATGGAGGACGGGGAGAATGGAGCAGCAATGGGGTGAGACTGGGGCCCAGAGGAGGTGAGTTCCAGACCCTGGTCAGCTCAGCTCAAGGTGGGATGGGCTGGAAAGCGGCCTAGAAAGGGGGAACCAGGTTCTGGGCAGCCGATGAAAGGGGCGCTGGACCAGCGTGGGGGTGTGAGTGTGCACGTGCCCCTCAATGCCGCCCAGAGAGGGTGCATGAACAGCTCAGCAAGAGGGTGGGGAAATCCGGGATCTGGGAGCGAGATGAGAGGCCGTCCAGGCCTGGCGTCCCAGCAAGGGTCTTCGTTTGCAGGGGTACAGCCGAGGTCCCCTGCACCCACTGACCCCCCTCCTTTCTCTTCCTCCCCTCGCAGACCGTGCACTGCTGCAGGGCGCCCCGGATGCGGTGGAGCTGCGTGAGCTGACGCCCTGGGCAGGGCAGCCCCCTGGTCCGCGCCGCCGGGAGGGGCCCCCGCGGCGGCGCGCGCGTGAGCGGTCGGGGGCGCGGCCGTGCGGGCTGCGCGAGCTGGAGGTACGCGTGAGCGAGCTGGGGCTGGGCTACGCGTCCGACGAGACGGTGCTGTTTCGCTACTGCGCAGGCGCCTGCGAGGAGACCACGCGCGTCTACGATCTGGGGCTGCAGCGCCTGCGCGAGCGGCGGCGCCTGAGGCGGGAGCGGGTGCGCGCGCAGCCCTGCTGCCGCCCGACGGCCTACGAGAACAAGGTGTCCTTCCTGGACGCGCAGAGCCGCTACCACACGGTGCGCGAGCTGTCAGCGCGCGAGTGCGCCTGCGTGTGACCCTACCTCACCCAGCCGGCGCGATGGCCACGCCCCCCGCCCCGACGGCACCACCGACCGGCCCAGCGGCAGACTGCGAGTGCGCAGAGCACGTTGGCGCGGCCCCGTGACTCTCGCGATAACTGTACTGAGATAAAGTGTGGGAAATGGAGCAGGCTCGTGATTCACCCTCGGCGAGGGGCTCGCGGGTGGGCCGTGGGGCCGTCTCCGCCGTGAAAACGGGGACCAGTGGGAGGATGCCGTTTGCTTTGGGGGAAGGGTGGATGCAAAGGAAAACAGGGTGAACGGGGCTACGTTGGGAGAGACCGTCCTTCCCGCCTCCCTAGGGGTCCCTCTGCCCGTCCCCGGCGTGTCCCCACCTCTCGGCCGCGTGGGCTTCTGGGGAAGGGGATGTATGCTGCGGAGGAAGGGACCGAGGTCTAGATGGACCCAGTTTCCGCAGCTTGTTCCCGTCCTTACCTTTCCGCGGTGTGGGCTTCTGGGGTCTAGGTGGACCTCGTTTCCCCAGCTTGTTCCCCCGTCTGTTCCTCTCTGCTGTATGGACTTCTGGAGAGGGGAAAGGGAGCCACACTGCACAAGGAGACTGAGGTCCCGCTAGACCCAGCTCCCCAGCGTCTCCTCGTCCGCACTTCTCCCACTCTGCGGGCTTCTGGGGAGGAGGAAGGCGGAGCCACTCTGGATGAAGAGACAGGTCCAGGTGGTCGCACTTCTCCCGCTCTGTGGGTTTCTGGGGAGGGGGAGGGGAGCCACTCTGTGGATGAAGAGACTGAGGTCCAGGTGGACCCAGTTCCCCATCGTCTCCTCGTCCGCACTTCTCCCTCTCTGTGGGCTTCTGGGGAGGGGGAGGGGAGCCACTCTGTGGATGAAGAGACTGAGGTCCAGGTGGCCCCAGTTCCCCTTCGTCTCCTCGTCCGCATTTCTCCCGCTCTGTGGGCTTCTGGGGAGGGGGACACTGAGGTCCATGTGGACCCAGGTCTGCCTTGCCCTACGGCCTCCTCGGGCCGGTCCTCCCCCACGAGGGTGAGCTGAAAGCCACTATCTCCTTCCACCAGCTACTAAAAATACCCGCAAGCTGCCCACCTCCCGGCGGGGAGGCCTGGGGCAGGCGCCAGGCCCATCCAGCCCGAAGCCGGCGCCTGCTGTGGTAGAGCTGGGTCCCCAGAGACCTGGGTCCTCTGCTCATAAAAGCCTTGGCTGGGCCTCGAGGGGGGATTTACGACAAGCCCCTGCGGAGGATGGAAAAAGCCCGGCACGGTGTTTAGATTTGCCCATGGTGTCACCTTGATGCTTGGCAGGCCTTGGGTGTTGGGTTCCCAGAATGCGGGAGGGGTCGGCGGGTCCCGCGGTCTGAGGGGCGGGGAAGGGCGGGCACTGTGAGCCCAGGGCGGGCAGTGGTGAGGCAGGACCCCTCCCCTCCTGCCCCTCAGACTGGGGGCTACAATTCTTCCCCTCAGCTGGGCCCCCTCCCCTCTCCCACACATCTGCCCTTAGGCCCACCCTCTAACCACAGTGTCCGCCCCAGGCTCAGCCGGCCCCTGCCCTCCCTTCCCCCCCACAAAGCTGGAGGGCAAAGACCGCCCCCAGGGAGAATCCCTGGCACTTGGCTCGGCTCACGGGGACCCCCCCCCCAGCTACAGCTGGACACACGGCAGCTAATCAGCAGGACTTCCCGGGGGCCCGAGAGCAGGGCTTGGCGGCCAGGCCCCAGCCCGTGGGTGGTCTGCTTGGGAAGCAGTTTCAGGGCTGCTGCTGGCTGGGGTCCCCGCCCACCCCCGCAGTCTCCTGACTGAGGTTTGGGGTGCTGGATTCCTCCACCGTTTGGGCTCAGACTGGCCTCCGCAGAGAGGCTGGAATTCTCAGATGCTCCTGAAGCCCAAGTGACGCTTACTGTGAGCCTCAGCTTCCCCATCCTAGATGGCCTGGCCTCAGAGAGAGGAGAGTTGTTCAGCCCAGGACACACATGGGGGTCTGCCGCCCAGAAGTTCCCCTGCCGCTGTGTGTGTGAGTGTTGTTCACCCTCCAGGGCCTCCCGGGACCTCGGCCTTCCTGTGCCCCACGAAGATCCAGAGTCCCAGCCACAGGCCGATGGCCCAGCCAGCCAGGGAATTGGAACATAAATAAACAGAGAAGCCCCTGCAGTCCCTGGGGGCTGCATTCTCATCGGCGCAGGCCGCACACCGGCTGGGGGTCTGTCACACACACGAGGCACAGGGACTGCACAAGGGTTGAGCAGGAGGACCCATGACCCTACATGGGCTGTATGGGCTTCTGGAGAGGCACACTGCATGAGGAGACTGAGGTCCAGCTCAACCTGGTTTCCCAGAGACTCCTCGTCTGCAGTTCTCCCACTCTGTGGGCTTCTGGGGAAGACAAAGGCGGAGCTGAAGTTAGTAGAGGGAGGTGGAGCCACTCTGGATGAAGAGACTGAGGGTCCATGTGGACCCAGTGAGAGAACTGCATACTCAAAAAGGGACACTCTTTTTTTCTTCTGTCTAAACTCGCCCAGGCTGGAGTGCAGTGGTGCAATCACTGCTGACCGCAACCTCCGCCTCCCAGGTTCAAGTGATTCTTGTGTCTTAGCCACTGGATAGCTGGGATTACAGGCACCCACCACCAAGCCTAGCTAGTTTGTTTTTTGTGTGTGTGCAGTTTTTTTTTTTGAGACAGTCTCACTCTGTTGCCAGGCTGGACTGCAGTGACTCGATCTTGGTTCACTGCAACCTCTGACTCCCTGGCTCAAGCGATTCTCCTGTCAGCCTCCTGAGTAGCTGGGATTACAGGCACCCGCCACCACGCCCAGCTGATTTTTTGTATTTTTTTTTTTAGTAGAGACGGGGTTTCACCATGTTGACCAGGACGGTCTCAATCTCTTGACCTCTTGATCCACCCGCCTCGGCCTCCCAAAGTACTGGGATTACAGGCGTGAGCCACCGCGCCCGGCCAATTTTTGTATTTTTAGTAGAAACGGGGTTTCACCATGTTGGCCAGGATGGTCTCAATCTTCTGACCTTGTGATCTGCCCGCCTCGGCCTCCCAAAGTGCTGGGATTCCAGACGTGAGCCTCTGCGTCCTTCCCGGCTAAATTGTTTTTTTCTATTTTTAGTAGAGATGTGGTTTTACCACGTTGGCCGGCTGGTCTTAAACGCCTCAGGTGATCCTCCCGCCTCAGCTTCCCAAAGTGCTGGGATTACAGGTGTGAACCACCACGTCCAGCCTGAGAGGAACACTTTCAAAGTCACTTCTCATTCACAAAAGCACACTGCATCACACCTGTAGTCACACACACTCAGAGTGCACACATAGCCTGAGTCGCCATCCTGTTCATCACACCTGCAGACACACTTGTGTCCACGCACAGCCCTGCGGCAGCCACACAGCGAGAGACCCACATAGACACAGAGAGCCTTGCACACTCAGAGAGGGGCCCCTGAACTGTCAACATTCGAAGGTACACTCAAGGGCAAGACGCGGTGGCTCACACCTGTAATCTCCACCTTTTGGGAGGTTGAGGCCAGACAATCGCTTGAAGCCAGGAGTTCGAGATCAGCCTGGACAACAAAGCGAGAGCCCCGTGACGGTGCATGCTTCCAGTCCCAGCTACCTGGGAGGCTGAAGTGGGAGGATCGCTTGATTCCAGGAGTTCCAGCTTGCAGTGAACCATGATCATGACACTGCTCTCCCATCTGTCTCTAAAACAATAAATAAATAAATAACACACTCTCAGGCCGGGCACAGTGGCTCATGCCTGTAATCTCAGCACTTTGGGAGGCCAAGGTGGGTGGATCACTTGAGGTCAGGAGTTCGAGACCAGCCTGGCCAACATGGTGAAACCCCTTCTCTGCTAAAACCACAAAAATTAGCCGGGCATGGTAGGGCACATCTGTAACCCCAGCTACTCGGGAGACTGAGGCAGGAGAACTGCCTGAACCCGGGAGTTGGAGGTTGCAGTGAGCCGAGATTGTGCCACTGCACTCCAGCCTGGGCAACAGAACAAGACTCCATCTAAACAAAAAACCAAAACCAAAACAAAAAATGACATACACTCCCAGGGCCTTCACGTTCAGTCTCACACCTGGAATAATCACCACACGAATACACATGCACACACAGTCGCACCCACAGTGACACGTTCCTGGCAGCCATACACTGAGTGTCGCCCCAGCCACGTGCACCCCCATGCTGAAGGTCACTGACACACCCACCCCCCTTTTTCTCGGGGAGCCTCTGCCCTTCTCCGTCCTGTCCCTAACACCTCGGCTGACTTAACTGGCCCCACCTGGCACTGTGTCTGGGCGGGAAAGTTCCCCTTGTCCCAGCCAGGTCCCACTTTGTCCCCCAGACAGCTGGGACCCCACTCCCCACCCACACTGGGCCTTCCTCACCCCACTCAGTCAGCCCACCCCAAGGAAGCAGCTGGAAATGCACTTCCCAAGGCTCCGACACCTGCCCCCAGGGCCATAGAAAGGTCTAGAACAGACAGGTCTAGAAGCAGCTGGAGATGCATCTCCCAGGGCTCCGACACCTGCCCCCAGGGCCATAGAAACTTCTATCTCTGGACACTTGGGACCAGATCACTGTTGGTTGGGTGGCCATCTTATGGATCATAGTGGGTTGAGAGTAATCTGGCCTTTCCCACTAGGTGACCTCATCCCCCTCCCGCACTTCCATGGCCAAAAATATCTCCAGACCTTGCTGAGCATCCTAAGGGTAGAATCACCCTGGGGAGACAACCACTGTCCTAGAATGAGAAGAACATATCATCAGTTTTCTTTTCTTTTTTTCTTTTGAGATGGAGTCTTGCTCATGTTTCCCAGGCTAGAGTGCAATGGCGAGATCTCGGCTCTCTGCAACCACTGACTCCTGGGTTCAAGCAATTCTCCTGCCTCAGCCTCCCGAGTAGCTGAGATTACAGGTGCCTGCCACCTCGCCCAACTAATTTTATACTTTTAGTAGAGATGGGGTTTTACCATGTTGGCCAGGCTGGTCTCAAACTCCTGGCCTTGTGATCTGCCTGTCTCGACCTGCCAAAGTGCTGGGATTACAAGCATGAGTAACCACACCTGGCTCTTTTTTTTTTTTTGAGATGGAGTCTGGCTCATGTTACCCAGGCTAGAGTGCAATGGCGAAATCTTGGTTCACTGCAACCTCTGACAGCCAGGTACAAGCAGTTCTTCTGCCTCAGCCTCCCAAGTAGCTGGGATTACAGGCACCCGCCACCACGCCTGACTAATTTTTGTATTTTTAGTAAAGATGGGGTTTCACCATGTTGGCCAGGCTGGTCTTGAACTCCTGACCTCAGGTGATCCACCAGCCTCAGCCTCCCAAAGTGCTGGGATTACAGGCATGAGCCACTGCACCCGGCCACCTCATCGGATTTCCTTGCAGTATGACATCTGGAAAGGGTACAGTCTTTGTCTCTCTGCGCCCCTCCCAGGCAGTTAACAACATCACAGACAAATCAGCCGGAACTCTCCCTTGTGGATGGGCCCCAAGGGTGCCAGTTCCCAGGGCCCAGTGCCTTCCAGGGTGAGGTCCCCAGGAGGTGAGGCTCCTAGCAGGTGAGATGCAGTGTGGCAAGATCTCTGGGGCCAGGTCCCAGTGAGTAGAGTCCCCAACAGCCAAGATCCCCAGCAGGCGAGGTCACCAACAGCTGAGGTCCCCAGCAGGTGAGGATTCCACAGGGGATGCTCCTGGAAGCAGTGAAGTATGTAAGGTCCGTGGTAAGTGACATTCCTAGCCACCAAAGCCTTCAGCAGGCGAGGCCCCAGGCAAGTGAGGCCCCAGGCAGGTGAGGCCCCAGGCAGGTGAGGTCCCAGGGAAGTGAGCCCAGTAGATGATAAGGCCCCAGGTAGGTAAATCCCCAGACTAGTGAGTCCCTAGGTGGGTGAGGTCCCGCTCAGTGAGGCCCGGGGAAAGCGCGGTCCCCGGCAGCCCAGGCCCCACGCCGGCCTCTCAGGTGAACCAAGCGGCTATGCTGCGCACCGTCTGGTACCTGGGTTCCTGCTGCAGCTTCCAGCAGGCCTGGCAGAAACACCGTGCCCAGCTGAAGAAGCCAGGCCGCAGCGTCTCCCGCCAGCGAAAGTAGCGCAGGTAGCGGGCGTGGTCCTTGTCCAGTGCCTGCAGGTACTGGGCCAGGTCCTTGGGGCTCTGGAAGTCGTCCACGTGGATGAAGGCGTCGGGCGGCAGGAACTTCTCGTAGTTGCTCCTGCTGGGACCCATCACCACGGGCACGGCCCAGGCCCCCATGGCGTTCCTCCACAGCTTCTCGGTGATGTAGTCGGGGTGCAAGGAGTTCTCGAAGGCCAGGTAGAACTTGTACCGGGACAGCGTCTCCATCATGGTCCCCCGGGGCAGCGGCTTGTGGGAGCGCCCGTACACGTCCACCTTGAGATGTGCCTGCAGGGTCTGGTAGTAGCGCACCCTGGCAGACTGTGGATTCCAGTTGGACACCGCCCAGGCCACCAGCTGGGTCTTGGCCGAGAGGTTGAGCGGTGGGTGGGCAGGCTGGCCGGACCACGGCTCCAGCCAGCCGTAGGGTGTGAAGATGTCGGAGTCGCGGCGGTAGGACATGGTGAGGTTGAAGTATCCGTCCAGGGCTTGCAGTTTCCAGCAGTGGCTGGGGGACTCCATGCTGAACCAGACCCAGCGCTGCCCTGGTGGCCTGGTGCGGGGCGGGAGCCGGGCACTGGGGTTTTGCATAATGTCCCAGTGGTGCACGATGACCGCGTCTGCCTGTGGGTACACCTGGCGGTTGGCAGTGATGTGGCAGTCAGCCGTGCCGGGCACCATCTCTGAGCAGCGGGACAGAGCCACGGGTTTGTTAAAAGGCCACGTCCACAGCAGGATCAGGAGGGTGGGGCGGGCGGGGGTCCCCGTGCTGTCCTGGCAGTGGGACCTATTGGGAGCCCCAGTGACAGGTTTCACTGCCATGAGGGACCCAGTGGCATCATCTCGGTACACACGCAGGTAGGAGAAGAAACACACAGCCACCAGCAGCTGAAACAGCAGCCCGGCCAGACAGTGGCGCCACGGCCATCGTGGCTTGGCGGGGCCCAGGAGTTCCATGGGTCAGAGGAGCTGGAAGAGATGAGAGAGGAGTGAGGGTCATTGGTGACAATGGCCTGCTTATCAAAGCTCCCAGCCGTGAGTCCTTAGAGGAGCTGCCATTATTCCCATTTCAGAGATGAGAAAACCGAGACCAAGTGACTCACAGCAAAAATCAGCACAGCTGGTGTCTGAACAAAGGGAGCTTGTCCCAGAGTCCACTTCCTCCCACCCATTAGACAAGCCCTTTCCCGGCATCCCCGAAGTCTTCTCCAGGCTAGTAAAATACATACGCCCTGGAGGCAGGGGACAAGGCATAGCTGTTCATCATTGCTCTCTGTGTCCCTGGGGCAAGGCGTAAATCCATGACTAAGGCAGGGAAAGGTACAATGAGATTGGGTTTTTCAGGTCATATACAAGGTGACCGGCTGAGCACAGTGGCTCATGGCTTGTTAGTTCCAGCACTTTGGGAGGCCGAGGTGGGCGGATCACCTGAGGTTGGGAATTTGAGACCAGCCTGGCCAACATGGTAAAACCCCGTTTCTACTAAAAATACAAAAATTAGCTGAGTGTGGTGGCACACACCTGTAGATCCAGCTGCTTGGGAGGCTGAGGCATGAGAATCGCGTGAACCTGGGAGGCAGAGATTGCTGTGAACCAAGATCACACCATGGCACTCCAGCCTGCGTGACAGAAGGAGATTCTGTCTCAAAAATAAATACAGTAAGCCAGGTGCAGTGGCTCACGCCTGTAATCCCAGCACTTTGGGAGGCCAAGGCGGGCAGATCACGAGGTCAAGAGAATGAGACCATCCTGGCCAACATGGTGACACCCTGTCTCTACTAAAAATACAAAAATTAGCTGGGCGTGGTGGCATGCACCTGTAATCCCAGCTACTCGGGAGGCTGAGGCAGGAGAATTGCTTGAACCTGGGAGGTGGAGGTTGCAGTGAGCCAGAATCACGCCACTGCACTCCAGCCTGGCGACAAAGCGAGATTGTCTCAAAAATAATAATAGTAAATAATAAATAAATAATACATTAATTAATAATAAATAGCTGGGTTTGGTGGCTCACGCCTGTAATCCCAGCACTTTGGGAGGCCGAGGCAGGCAGATCATCTGAGGTCAGAAGTTTGTGACCAGCCTGGCCAACATGGTGAAACCCCATTTCTACTAAAAATACAAATATAAGCCGGGTATTGTGGCTTGAGCCTGTAATCCCAGCTACCCAGGAAACTGAGGCACAAGAATCACTTGAACCCAGAAGGTGGAGGTTGCAGTGAGCCGAGATCCTGCCTGGGTGATAGAGCGAGATGCCATCTCAAAAAATATACATACAATGTACAAAATAAAATAAAACATTTTAAAAAGACCAGCCTGGGCAACATGGCAAAATGCCAACTCTATTAAAAATACAAAAATAAGCCAGGGATGGTGGCGCACGCCTGTAGTCCCAGCTACTTGGGAGGACTGCTTGAGTCTGGAAGTTCGAGGCTGCAGCGAGCTGTGATCGGACCACTGAACTCCAGCCTGGGTGATAGAGCAAGACCTTGTCTTAAAAAAAATAAAATAGCCGGGCGCGGTGGCTCACGCCTGTAATCCCAGCACTTTGGGAGGCCGAGGCGGGTGGATCAC